GTCGCCGGACGAGGCCCGCATGGACTTGAACCCGTCCTTCCTGGGCATCGCCCTGCGCTCCCTGCTGGCCATCGACCTGTGGCTGTCCAAGAAGCTGGGCGTGTGCGCCGCCGAGGGCGCGGCCTGGGGCAGCGTGCGGCCCCTGATGATGCTGCTGGAGGTCTCGGGCCACGGCATCCCTTGGCTGCTGGGCACCCTCTACTGCCTGGCCCGCAGCGACAGCTGGGCCGGCCGCGAGGTGCTCATGAACCTGCTCTTCACCCTGCTGCTGGACTTGCTGCTCGTGGCGGTCATCAAAGGACTGGTCCGCAGGCGCCGCCCGGCGCACAACCAGATGGACATGTTCTTCACCCTGTCGGTGGACAGGTACTCCTTCCCCTCGGGCCACGCCACCAGGGCCGCCTTGGTGTCGCGCTTCATCCTGAACCACCTGGTGCTGGCCATTCCACTGAGGGTGCTGGCGGTCCTGTGGGCCCTCGTCGTGGGCCTCTCCAGGGTGTTGCTGGGGCGCCACAATGTCACCGACGTGGCTTTCGGCTTTCTCCTGGGCTACCTGCAGTACAGCATCGTGGACTACTGCTGGCTCTCGCCCCACAACGCGCCCGTCCTCTTTGCCCTGTGGAGCCCACCGTGATGGCAGCGCGTGGATTGCGGCGGGAGAGACCCGAAGGTTCCCACGTCATTCAATGCGATGCTGGCAGAAGCCCCAGCCATTCCGCTTGACCCTCTTAAAATTTCAAACTGCCTTTGGGACTTGCGGGGATGTGATGTGTTTGGCTAGGCTGGAGCATAGGTGGCCATTATTCATCACAGCTGTATTAGGGAAAGCAATATATATATATGTCCTATCGTATTTATTCAACAACTGTCTCCAGGACAACCAGGGGGGCAGGGAGAAACCAGGTTGGGGTGATTGTGTCACTGTTTTCTTGTTATTACTTTAAGTTGATAGTAGTAAAATGGGTGTTCCCTAATAAGTCCATAGATCAAAACAGGTCCCTTTTATGAAGTGAACTTTGAAAAAGTAACACCATCTTCGTCCAGTAAACAGACACGTAGCTGAGTCTTGAATTACCCTTCATGCTCAGCCTACAACAGTATCTTAAGCGCCTCAGACATAGGTTTTTCTAGATTATTCCTTGAAGGTCTGTTGCCAGATTTGGAGAGTTGTTCTTAACCCTAATTTTCTTGGCAAGTGGTTGGTTTGTTTCTCGCACTGTTATAATCTGCTTGTTCCATCTTTGCTAATTGGGTGCTGAGAACGGAGGGAATAATATGTCTTCCTCTCCTTCCCCTCTAACACCCAAAGGAGCTTTACATAGCTAGATATTCGCACACCTTTCTAATGCAGTATTTTGGCATTCAGTGGACAAGCGAGACTGGAGAAGCGCTCAGAAGTAGGCATGCGTCAGATGCCTGGAGGAAAGGAGGGGACGAGTCCCCATGCCTAGACCTGTGCACAGCAGGAAGCAGATATGACAGGCAGAGGAGCTAAGGGGTTGGGAAGTTAAAAGAGTAGAAAGTTTGGCAGAAGGCTGACCCCATAATTATGGCCAGTGGACCCGTACAGCAGGGTTGGGGCCTTCTACAAAACAAATAGCAATGCTTCTCTTTTGGGACCATTGAATCAAAGGCCTGGTGAGCTACTTCATAAATATCAGCCATTGAAAATGCTTGGGAGAAAAAAAAAAAAGTGCTTGGGAACACAGTTCTACCATGACATCATATGGGGTGCCAGAAGTCAGATTTGACTTTTGTGATGGT